GTTTGTGTATTTTTGGCGTTCCATATATTCTTGGTGTTATGTTAGCTGTAGAAATCCAGTGTTTGTACATTTTTTCTGTTATTTAGCCTTTTTCTTGTAGTGGCTTCAGTAATTTTTTCATGTTTTTCTTAATGTTTTCTGTTGGGTCTTTTTAAAGTATTTTGTATGTATTTTTGTCCTCTAACATCTGTTTCATCTGTTGTTTATATTTTTCTTTGTCCATAACTACTGTGGTTCTTCCTTTGTCTGCCGGTAGAATAATTATCTGTTCCTTTTTGGATAAAGCTCTCATGGCTGATTGTTCTTCTTTTGTAATATTGCTGTGTTAAATTTTGCTGTCCTTTAATATCCCAACAACTTTATTTCTGAGTTCTGCTTTTTTTCCCTCATCTGAGATCTGTTGACACGCTAGTTCTGTTGCTACGATAAATTCATCATATGGTATTTTCTTTGGTGTTACTGCAAAGTTTGAACCGTTTTTAATATGCTTTCTTCTGCTTCTGTTAGTTTGTATTGTGAAATGTTACATACTCATGAGCTTTGTGTGGTGTCATCTTGTATTTTTCTCTTTTTCTTGTTGATGAGTTTGTTTAACTTCTTTATGTGTCTTTCTTTTACTTTTGTGAACTCTTTTTCCTGTTTTTCCATCATGTGTCCTTTAATTTGTTCCTCCGTTTTTTCATCAAGTTTGTAATTCCTTTTTAAGTCCAGGTGTCTTCTTTCCAGTTCGTTTTCCACTTGCTTCTGTTTGGTTGTGACGTTTCTTATCCTTTCTTTGAGTAGTGCTCTCTGTGCTCTTTCCATTATGTTCTGTGCTGACTTGGTCCAGATCGGTGTTTTCAGCAGTAGGCTTGTTGGTGTGATGTTTTTGTCCCGGCAGCTTAAATTGAAGTGAAGGTGGTTTCTAAGACGTGCGCGCATGGACGTAATTTTGGGGGGGGGGGGACAGGGGGGACATGTCCCCCCCATTTTTTCCAAAGTCAAGGTTTGACCCCTGCACTTTTTACTATCCAAAAACAACATTACGCTATATTATAATTATTATTATTATTATATTATAATTGACACTAGTTGAGCTCTAGGACCAAGCAGAAAACAACCGTTTGTGTTGAAGCCTGTTTCCCATTAGAGCATACTGTAAAGTCCCCCCCCCCCCCCCACTCCGTGTCCCCCCCACTTCTAAAGTGAAAATTACATCCATGTGTGCGCGTTTTTGATGTAAACGTTCCAAACGGCAGAAGTCCTTTGTTCCTTGTTGTCTGTATTTTTCTTAAAAAATCATTGGTGTGTTCTTACTGTGTTTAGTTTCTAATTCCATTTTTTGGTTCTTTTTAAAACACAGGAAAGGTGTCGCCCTCTGCCGCCCGCGGATAAACGGAGTAGGAAGTGATGCCACCATCAGCGTCAGCTCTGAGGATGTTTTGCAGTCGGCAAACGAAACGTACGTCAGCAAGGTAAAGAAAAACCTTTCCTGTGTTTTAAAAAGAACCAAAAAATGGAACAAATGTCTTTGTTTCAGCTTTTAAAAGCTTTTACTGACAATTTTATAGTGATTTTACGATCACCGTCTGAGTACAACAACTGTTTTTCAAACTGGTGACATTTAGATAAAAGGACCCAATCTGTGACAGCTAACAATCACATCACTGATGATTCAACTGTGTACAAGGTAATACTCAACTTAAAGGGTTTCTGTTTTTGATGAGAACGGGAAAGGTGTTCTTAAAACCCCATTTATCTACAACCTGGGGACAGGCCGGCAGCAAATACCACACAACAGAACATAATGAACACTGAAGAACCCATACACAAAAGAATGAATACAGCACTTTGTGGAGCAATTACAGCCAGAAAGGAGAGACGAGGATGTGTTGAAACCAAAAATAAGGCATAAATGATGAAAAGCATAGGGCAAGACAATCAGAAGGCAGAATAAAGGCTTGCAAGATTAATAGAATGTTTCTTATATCATCTGATTGGGTAGGTGGACACAAAAACAGCTGCCTATAAATAATTCTGTCTGCAGCTTGAGCAAGAAGATGAAAGCACTTCAGACACATCTTGTTTTTTTTTATCTATTTTATAGGTATCAATTCTATACACAACATTCAGTACACGGTCACACTTTCTGGAGTTATTCTTCAAAATCTGCAAAGTGAGGAAGTATTCTCTGTTTTCCCCCCAAAATGGCAGTTTTTTAAATTTATGATCTTTGGCTCAATCCGTCACATTTTGATGTTGGGAAGGCAAAAGCGTGCAAGTTAGCTAACAGTCTGCAGTTTAGAATGCAGCAACAAATAAAAATCCACTACCTGAGATTTCTCTTAGCAAAATGGAATTGTGGATGATGTGGTTGTGTGTGTGAGCCGTCTCAGAAAATCTTTTGGAACTGAGGATCATCAAACACAGGAGGTAATATCACTTAGATCTAGCCTTTAGGCATCCAAATGATTCCAGTTTTCATTAAAACTTTTATCCAAACATTCTTACCAATGTTGGATGCATTTGTAGTCCTGGACTTATTCTCACACAAAACCTAGAATAATGTTTCCCCCCGTTCGAAAATAAGTGCTTTCTTGGTATCAAAATAGGAAATCCATGGCACATAACAAGCGTTTTTAGCCTCACTGACTTGCATTCATTTTTTCGTTCTTCCGAGGACCCATGGTCAGGAAGTAGATGGGCGCGACTTAGGCTCCCTATACAGCAAGACAAGATTTCACTTAGGGGTGGAATATCCCTTTAACATTCATGGCCTCACCCATCTTGACTCGCTACGAGAAAGGCTGTTGTTGGTTTAGTGTCCTGGAAACAGCAGAGAACATTCAGACTAGTAGAAGATAACCGTTGGCATTAGCAACTCCACCACACAGCAGAACTCCTCCAGGCTTGTGTTATTAGTGGAGATAAAACATCAACATTGCAGAGCAAACAGAGTCAATGGAAGAGTCGTGTTGCTGTTAGCCAATCAGAGGAGAGACGTCCACTTCTGCTTTCACTGTGCAGCAAAAGACTTCTCTGTACTGATCCAAAAAATGATGGGCTTTTTTTTACCTGAGTATGGCTTGCAAGCCGTTCTTTGCTACCAGAAACCACTGCAAACGTATTGATTGAATGAGTGAAGCACACCTTTAGCACTGCTTTTGAGTTTGTCAGTTTGAAAACTTATTTTTAACCATAAAGTACTGATCATTGTCAGCTCTCTTGAGCCCCCTTCAGACAGGCCATGAAAAACGGAAATGTTCAGGACTCTATCCGTAAGACCTTTGTGTCTGAATACAAACATCCGGATAACGTTTTCCGTAATTTAACCGGACGAATCCCCTAGTAACAGGTCCGGACTTGTTACGGAGAAGGTGGCTGCTTCAGACTGGTGAGGTCGAGTTCCGGACAGGGAGGAGGGGGATGAGGAGGGGACCGGGGGACGCTGTGCGCACCTTGATAGCTCGCTCCTGTAGCATGCGGCGAACCATGGCAGCTCGCCTCCTACGGTACCGTCTCCGCACAACAGAGCGCATCACACCGCTTCCGTGATTCCTTTTAACCATTGAGCTTCATCACCCTGGTCTCTTATGCGTCTTCGTGTGCGCAGAATTATGCTCAACATAAGTCCGATCAGTGAAAGGAATTCTATCTCTTCGTCTGTCATGTTTGACTGAATGGCTTTGTTTGAGTAAATGACGCATGTACGCCCGCCGCACTACGTCCCCCCCCCCCCCCCCCCCCCCCGACATCTGGAACTTTTCCCTGCTGTGTGAAGGCAGCCGAAAGGACAAGTTCCGGTACAAAAGCGGTGTGTCTGAAAACACAGTTCCGGTTAAAAACCGGACTGAATTGTCCACACATATTCCAGAATGTCTATCTGAAAAGGGCTTTGCATAACATTTATTAAGAAGTACCTCAGAAAAAGTTGCTAGAAGAGGTAGTTTCTGTCTGTAAAACCAGGCTGCACCACCAAGACAATGAAATGGCACAAGAACTAAACAATTCGTAATTTCAGCTCAGAAAGATACCATGTAATAAAAATGACCATGATATGCAAATGGCAACAAGCAAAAAAGAAAATCCGTGGACTTAATCAAAAATATAAATGTTAAGATGTTTTAAGGTGGTTTAGCATCCAATGAATTCTACATCTTAGATGGTAAAAACGTATTAGATGTTGTGAGGGCCAATCGGAAAAGAACAACTATTATTTTAGAAGTCAACATTCACTAAAGGTCCATGTATGAGCCGCAAAAACAAGCTTAGATGAATCCTTCATGAGAATTCCACATTATTTAATGGTGAGTAACGCCCTTCATCAGGCTGGTGGGGTGCGGCTGCAAACGAGGATGTTTAAAATGCAGACCAGTTTGCTGAAGATCTCCAGAACTGATATATGTGCAAGAGAGGATGGCGCAAAGGACAGGAAGATGCATGCAACCGATCAGCCAGGGTGACTTTCAACAGCAGCAATTAAAAAGAACGATACAGAAAAGTGATTTGAACTTTATCTAAAATATGCAAAGAAGTAAAACAAAACAAAACAAAAAAAAAGAATAGCTTGGATGGCTAAAAAATTAATGACTGCTACAAGTTAGAGAACTCTGTTGCCAGACTTGGTTACATTTTAGATCCCCTTGGTAACTTCTTAAAAAAAGAAAATGAAAGAGTCAACAAATCCAACGTAGCTCTGCCTCAGGTGTTACACCAAGTAGGGGATACCAGGAGAGTAGCCATGCACCAGAAGATTAGAGGAGAGAAATGAAACACCCGTATACTGTTGCGATTTTTTAAAGGATCATTGTAAAATTTAAATACTGCAAAATCCACAGCTAAAACAATTGCACTTAAATGGATAAAAAACAGGAGTTCTGCACTTCTACACTGTAACTCCATCTTAAAAGCTAAAAGTGAGCGACAAAATGGCTAAATTGTTGTAATCAGAAGGGTCATTTGGATGTTTTAAAAGGTTTGAGCCATTTAAAATAGAGCTGTAGAAGTAAAGAGGCACTTACGTGGGTTTTTCATTAGTGATGAGCACTTTGACTTTGTTGAGGGCCTTTTTGGCACCAGTAGGAGCTGGGGCAGCAGCAGGCGTGGGTTTGGTGTGTGCTGGGCTTGCGTGAGGACTGGCAATGTAGACCTTTTTGCCAGCACTACCTGGTGGTTTGGAGTGGGTAAAGTCTGTGATGAAGACTATTCCTTCGCTAGTCAACACTGCAGAGAAATAAGAATACAAACTTATTTAAAAGAAAACAGAAATTATTTTGCCCTGTTTAAAATCTGTCATCAGAGATGTTCTTACTCCAGAATCCTGGAACACACAATCTCCAACACAAAATGTTTATTTTAGACATCTCCAGTCTACTTTATGTATTTTGTGCCATTGCTACAGTTTTCTATTTAATTAAATAAATAATTAAAACAAACAAGTAAAGTCTGATTTGATGATATCCGTTTTGCTCGTTCTACTTCAGATATCCAGAAAGTCTAAAGTTGAAAACCCAATAGACATAAAAGGTGACATAAGGTGGAGTTGCTAATGCTAATGGTTAGCTTCTATTATGTGCTCTGCTGTTTCCTACATGCTAAACCAACAACAGCCTTCCTTGTCGTGAGTTAATAGACCCTTTTACTACCTACGTCATCAAAAGTTGCGCGTGCAGCCTGGCAACGAGAGTGAAGGCTTCCTCATTCACACTCGATACTTAAACAGTGTTTTAAACCCTTTGTTTTGAAGTTCTGAGCACATAAAAATGTCGGGTTGTTGTACGGATGCCAGAGTCGCTTCTCTTCAAGCAGTGGACTGAAACTTTACAGAATTCCGAAGGGAGCACATCCATTTCAACAAAATCGGAGGCGTCTGTGGCTGCAGGCCATCAAAAGGGTTGATGAAAACTGGACGGAAAACACGATCCGAAATGCTCGAGTTTGTAGCGCCCATTTTATATCAGGTAAGGTTATTATGTACTAAGATTACATATAAATTTATACGCTTTATTTCATGCTTCAAATTAACATTTCATTCTAATTCATCTGTATTTTCCCACTGCATATTAGTATAAACTGTATTTCTCTAAAAATTAACACGATTGTACTCTGAGCACGCTAAAGAAAGAAACCTATGCAATACTCACCCTGCCATGCAGGTACAGTTGGCTGTGAAGACGAAGTTCTCTGGTTTGTTTACTATGACCCAAGCCTCGTACGTAGCAGTCTTGTGTCCTTGTCTTTGGCTAGGAAGGACTTCTGCCTTGAAGACGCAAAACTCAGAGTCTATGTCGTGATGTTTTACTTTCTGTACGTGGCCACAGACAACATAGTTGTATGCATCTAACGATGTGTATGCCCGTAGCTTCTCACGTGTGTACTTACTGGGCCTCTCCACTAAAAACGTATACATATCTGGCCACTGGATATCTGGCCACGCACCTACATCTTCCACCCATTCCGTAATGCCACAGGGATCCGGGAGTCTGTTGCCATTCGTTAAAGTGAGTTTAATAATATAACATTCAACATTTGCCGATGATAACCCCGCAGCGTAGCTTGATAAAGCCTGACACAACGCCATTCTCTGTTTCCAAGCTGCGCGCGCATTCTCGCTGACGTCATGTTGTTTACAAACAGTAAAAGGGTCTATATGGGCAAATGTTAAGTGACAGCGTGATGTAGATCTGTTTTCGATCAGAAGACAATGCAGGAGATAGGTGTAGGAGACTATTCTCACCTTCAGCCTGCATGAAAAAATCTCATGACTGATTCACCCCTGTCAGTGCGGCCCAGGGCAGCTGTGGCTACACAGGGCTGTACGGTAACATTTGTAGCTTACAGCAGTGTTGCTACGAAGGTTGTAGGTTTTGCAAAACAGAACAAAACGTTGTAGCGCCAGCATATAAAATGTGTTACAATCTAAAAAGTAAAAGTAGTTCTTACAATTACTTAAACACACTGAAAAACACCAGTAGTGCATTTGATTAAAACACAAAAACAACCACCAAAGCTAATTCCTGGTGGCGCGAGTCTCACTCACGTACTTAAAGCTGATTCTGAAATCTCTTCATACATTCGTGTCAGTGTAATCTTGAAAAGAACATTTTCTTTTATGCAAATTAGTGTAGATTTGTAAATTACAGACGTCTGTCGTCAACGGCGTAGACATAGAAGAGTAGACTCCACGCTGATCGCTTCTGTCGCATTTTCGTGGTCTAATTTTTATAAACTGTATGGTTAACAGGATGTTTTAGCTAAGGCTTTAGCTCTGTGGAGATCTGGAGCTCTCAAACTGTGGTAGATTGTCGTTCATAAACCCACTCACACACGTGTTGGGTATTTTTATAATTGTACCTTTTTGAGGCCTAAAAGATGCCCATTTTGTGTTATTAACACTTCATGAATCTCTGTTTTCGCCAACTGTTGCTGTTCATGAAAGGTTGAGCAAGGATGTTGATTGTGGGTTTCCAACTGAAAACTGTACCTCTGTAACCTGAGAAGGCCCGCCTTCTCCCCCATCCTTTGCTGAATAAAGCCCCTGGGAAACTGAGGAGACTTGGGGAGTGACGGGGGAAAAGCCTCGGAGGAGGTTTTTCCCTGCGTTAACTCTCCATTATTTTGGGGACTCAGGGTAAAATGTCTCCCTTATTGTCATGTGTGTTATTTCAGGTTCCAGGGTTATGGAGATTAAATATTACCCCACATGTAATTACTTAACATTTTGGTGGAGATGCCGGGGATGAAGAGCTGGTGACCTGAAGGCTTTCCCCAGGAACAGAGGGGGGCTGGTTAGCTCCATGGAGGGGTTTCTGCGCCCAGCTCTCGCATGACGATTCATGGACATTACAAATAATCTCTCTCTCTCTGTGTGTGTCGTCCTTTAAGGTAATATGGGATAAATCTAAAATTACCTATCAACACGCCAAAATGAGAGCTCACTTTATCATTCATCAGGATAAATACATGCGAGTTTGTTTTACGTTCACAAAAGAAAAACCAACAAGTTCCCGTATGATCGTTAAATGAACTTGTTCAAGTACAACACCGCCGTGTTGTATTTATAAGCTTTTCCCTTCTCAGATGTACCTTGGTTTGGTGCAGGTTGTTTTTGTTTCTTCTTGTTCGTTTGCTTTTCTGTTCTGTTAAAGGTTTAAAATAAGACTGCAGCTATTGGGTATTTTAGTATTTGAATACTCTATTGAATCTCCTGATTAATCAAATATTCCATTTGACAATGTTTCAAGTGCAACGAGACCGCGGTCTGCTGCTAAAAATATGAAATAAAACTCCAAAATTATGAGGCTGAAATGTCAGACTCTTTTTATAAAAGGCTCCATAATATGTATAAAATTGGTGTTGTCTAGTATCCTCTTTCCCATCTGATATTTATAATTAGATATTTTATGAAAAAAAACTGAACTTCATTTCAGTAACATTTTAGGTTTGTACTAATATCACTCATCTTAGTCAAAAGAACATATCTGAATATATCCACAGTTAAACTATGATCAGTAGAATGTAAAGGATTTCATTAGTATTTTCTGTAGTAGCTACAAGAAAAGCTAAATTAGCAATAATCCAGTTTAAATTATGTTTGAAGATAGACACGTTTGTGAGATACATACTACAGTGGCTTGCCATATAAGTGCTGCGGCGTATGGAGCAGACTTGAAGCAGCAGCCTGAGTACTGCGGTTCTGCTCCGGTTCGGCTTTATTCCATAGGAACAAACAGGATGATGGGGATTTTTCTTCCGCTTGTAAAGTTAGGATATTCTTAGTTTCTCAACCATCGTGTTTTTTCGGAACCCCACCTGATCGTGAGCCTGCTACCCGCTAGCATTAGCCAATCTGCCCAAACTTTGGACTGTTTCTGCCTTTGTATCTCTGCTGGTCTTTAGGTTTTCCTCCACAGCACCTAGATTAGCACATTGTGCGCCAGTAAAAAGCATCTTTCTTACACAATAACAAGCAACTTACACTGTTCAATAAAGGGGGAACAAGTAAGTTGAAAAGATGTCGCACCAGTGCTATGTCTGCACACTTTGTACAGCCCTGCTACATCATAGCTCCTCCCCACCAGCATCTGAACATATGCGTGAACGAGTGAATGATTGTGTTGTGAAGCGCTTGGGGGGGTTGTAGAACGCTAAGAAGGCGCTATACAAACACAGGCCATTTACATTAAAGTTAAAGTCCCATTAATTCATCACACACTGGTGAAATTCATCTCTCATGTGACCCATCCCCGTGGGGAGCGGTGAGCTGCAGCTGCGGCTGTGCTCGGGAACAATCCAACCCCTTAAAACTGAGTGTCAAGCAGGGAGGCACTGGGTCCCATTGTTAAGGTCTATGGTATGACCTGACCGGGAATTGAACCTCCATCTCCCAGTCCCAGGGCAGACACTCTACCACTAGGCCACTGAGAAGGTAATTATAGGTATTATAATCAGAAATAATCCGCATCTTTAAGACACGGTAAATCAAAGGCCACACATGCCAGAAATCAAAAACCGAATAAACTGAGGCTGAGTCGGATTTTTGTGGAGTTACTACATTCACCTACATGCCATGTTAGAGGCATCAAAGGGGTCAAAGGAAAAGGACAGGATATTCTCAGCGTAGCTCTTCTTCCACAGCTTGGTGCCTGTGTCTCCGTTCCACAGAACAATGTAGTTTGGAGGGTGAACGGCTAGCAGGAGATCACGAGATGCATCCTGATTCCACAGCCACTCCATATCTGACAGAGAAAGAGAGCAAACAGAGAATAAATGTAACCCAGAAGAAGTAAAAGAAGCACGTTCACAAAGACGTGTGCATTGTCCATTTTGTTGACAAGTTGAAGAAATGTTCATTTAAAAGCTCCGTGGTTCTATAGATTCATACCCTGGATCGGTTTGGAGTGCTCTTGGATCTCACAGTGAGCCGTGCCGCTGACCACATCCCACACAATGATCTTCCCAGATGCATCTCCAGAGGCGAGCCGCAGACAGTAAGGCGAGCTTATGTTGTGGTAATAATTTTCCCTCGACCATTTCACCTGGCAGAACAAAACACTGAATGAGTTTTGGCTTGGCTCAACACATGCGGACAATAATCCGCATCCTAGGATTGAGCGCTCTCGACTTGGAGCAGTTGAGCAGGAAGCAAAGCCAGAGCTGGCCCACTTAGGGTAATGGAGGGAGTGGTCAATTTCGTTTGTCTTTTCAAATGGACTTTGAGGAGCTCTTTAACATGTTCTGTTTAAAAAATGAATAAACTAATTGAAGTCAGGCACAGCAAAAGACGTTTGGATGTAGAAAGCGGCAACTAGTGTTTAGCGCTCTCTCGTGTCCTCTGTTAATGCAGGTTTTTGGTTCTGGCAGAACCGTCTCGGGGAAGACGTTCAAGAGGAGGGGTGAGTGTCCCGTAACAGTGTTTGTGTTGAAAACCTAGCTTGTTCTGTAGATTCGCTATAGCAGCTTTAATGAGGTTCGGGGTGGGTTCTGGAAGTTTTGACGTGTTATTTGTAGGCTTTTCCCAGATTGCCGGTGGAACTGAGCCATCTGTGATTTTCAGGTTAAGTATAAAGCAAGAAACAATAAAAGCGTTAGCTAACATGCTAAATTGTTTTACAATAACATAAATTAGTTATGTTAGAGCAGAAAAGTTGCTAACAGGGTCGAAAACGGAAGATAAAACCCTCAGGAACAAGACTTGGGCGTTGCTGTGTTCTGGAGGCGTGGCTTGGGGGGGTGGGGGGGTTACAGCGGGTTAAACCTTTGAATTCCGTATATTCAAAATGTAGGTTGTCAGACTAGCAAGAGAAAAGTTCTCCTGTTCCACCTTTAATTGAAATCTGCCAGCTGTGCTTACTTTGTGACTGAGGTTTTTCCAGTGAATCTTTATGATCAGGGCTTTTAGGGTGTCCCACGCATCCATTGGACCGTAATCTAGACTTTGTGGTGGCCACTCAGCTTTTTTTATGGATGCAGCAACCACATCCTCCAGGTGTTTTTCACGTTCTGTAGTTTTTATGAAACCTTTCTCTGCGTTGATGGAATATAAAGTCGTTGTCAGGAGAACAACCGACGACAGTCAGGGAGAAATCCATCAATTTGACTCAACCGCAAATTTGATCCCACACAAAGATTGGTAAAGTTACGAGGCAGGAATTTTCAGGATTAATTAATTACATCTGTATGATGAAGCAGAAAGGAACATTTCACACCACTGTGTGAAAACAGATTTTAGAAGACTTTTAATTCTGGCTCTGTTGGAGGTTTTTGTCTACATTGTATAATACTGAAGAAATTAATTACAAGGACAACACAGCAACGTGTTTTTCTGAAGAGGAAAACGAGTTTTACAACTTCATACTGAAATAAAGGATTATTTCTGTGTTTTTGTTTTTCAGCAGACATGCTTTTTAATATTGCTGCTGCTCCCCCCCTGCACTGATAATCACTGTAGTATTTTTTGCCCATTTATTACCTTTCTACAGCACACACCAACACACACAGACATGCACACAGTGGGACTCTGTCAGTACAGAAACTACCTTTATCATTAGTACTGGCCTAAACAGTGAGGGAGACCTGAAACTGAGCCAGAGTGTGGCAAAGCACCAGACTAAAGTCACACTGATGCTGGGACATGAATTTTCCTTAAAGAATATTATATCAAATGTCCTGAAAATGCACAAAAACCACACAAAGCTGGCATACACATAAAAACTATGTATACAAAGACATACATATAAATGCAGCATCAAAAATGACGTTTGGTCCAAATAAAAAGGAACACAAATGTTTTATGTTTTACATTATCAGACTAACAACTGTTCATGCCTAAATGTAAATGTTCAACAATACTGTATTGATTATATCTTCGTTAAGTTTGGATTTTTTCCAACAGCTTAATTTACTGAATGCACTCATATTTAATTAGAGGTTGGTGCAGAGGAGCTGGAACTTTGTTTAATTTATTGGAATCAGTGGTGGATTTTGTAGCTGCTTACTTCTTCTACTTAGTTTAAAATTCACTCAAGCTAACAGCTGTGGAATATTTACTGCTTTTCTGTTGTTGCAAGGCAATAAAGTGCAAGTTCTGTATGAGTGGAAATCAATGGGTTTTGGGAAAATGCAACGAGTGTTGGTGACACCATTTGGGCAAGGCAGCTTCTTCTGTGAAGCACGTTTCATACACAGAAGCAATTCAATGTGCTTTCCATGTGCCAGAACAGCAAGAACATAAAACATTCAAATCAATGTGACAACATAAAGCAGCAGATCTTTAATCTAATTTAAAATACACAAATAAAATCAGATCAAATTTAACATTTAGATGTGAGAATAAGATAAAAAAGAAGGTGCAGCATAAGAGATTCATTCGAAGGCTGGTGAATACATGAACGTTTTCAATTTTGATTGAAGCCACTGGAGTTGGGGTATATGTGTGTTCATGAGGAAGCTGATTCCGTGTGCAACACCGAGCCCCCACAATGCGGGTGAAAAATTGAGGCAAACCCGGAAATGAAATAAATTGCAGTTCCACCCTCATCCACTAGGGGCTAGTGTCAGAAGCGAGCAAATCTTCATTGACTCCCATGTTAAAAATACCAATTTCACAGCAGAAATAAACATGTTTACAGCCTGGTACCAAAACATGTTTTTGGTTTAAATGATCTAGTTTACACTCATGACAACTCTGAGGGGGGTGAATTTTTTTCTCACTCTTCTGTTTAAGTGGATTAAAAGCCTAAAATTCTGTATAATTAATGAGCATCAGACCCACGTGACCACAGAGCTAGCTCCGTGGAAAGGCCTCAGTAGAGCCTCGGTCTGGCCTGGAAACTGTTCCAGGATTTTGAGTCTCTGTGCGTTCTTTTTTGGATATTATTTGTGCAATTGTTGGACAAAATGACTTGCTGTGGCATTAATTGCACTAACAGAGCGTCCAAGGAGTCTCCACTTCATTTTTTTTCGGTAAGTAAAATTATATTTATGTATTTTAGGTCACTGCCGAGCTGAGCTTAGATTTTAACATGTACTGTTTAACCATGAAATGTAAATGTAATAGGGTAAAACCCAGTGCATTTAACATAATGCTGCACTTTAGAAAATGGGTTGAAATATAACATGTTGGTGGAGCTGGGTTCCCACTATTGGCTTGTGGAGCTCTTCTCCCCTCCCTGCAGCTCGGCGCATCTCTGTCTGATCGCGGCTTCTGTGTGCTGCGCGGGCTGCCGGCTTGTGGAGCTCTGGGATGGAAACCTTTCCACCCGGTTCTCCCCAGCGGCAGCTCTGCACATCTCAGATCGCAGCGGCGCTTGTCTGCTGTGCGGCTGCCGGCTTGTGGAGCTCTCGGGAGACCTCTGTGTTCCACCTGGTTTTACCCAGCGGTCAGCTCAGAAGCTCTGGTGTTGTGCACAGTTAACTCCAGTTGTAGCTAGGTTGCTACCTCTGTTAGCTTAACTTCCACCTCCGCGTTAGCTTTGGGTTAGCTTCAGGTTAGCTTGTAGCTAGTTTGACCGGGTGTCGTCAGTTGATCCCAGCCTTAAAGCCCCACCTTCAGCTCCACCTCTCTTCCCTTTTGTGGAATTGTCTGGGCTTGACGGAACCAGTGACACGGTCAAAATGGCGGTGGTGGCCACCTCCCATTTATCTTCAAAAATGTGTTATTGGAGCCAATGGAAACCCATTGTCCAATATTTATATGTCGATAGTGCAGCATAGTAGCTAAAAGCAACTTCACCCTGTTTGGTTCTGACCCGGAGTTCTACCAGCTGACTGATATACGGCACGGAAATCCAGCATGTGTTTTGCCCCCATGCTATTGAGTAGGGCTGAACGATTAATTGCATATGCAATTAAATTGCGATGTGACAAAAGGAGATTTTCTAATCGCAAAGGCTGCAATTTGACTGGCAGCGAGTGGTTAGCACTAGGGATGGGTACCGAATTCGGTACTTTTTAAGGTACCGACCGAATTCCATAGTACCGACTAGGGTTGTCACGGTAACCGGTATAGCGGTAAACCCCGGTAAAAAAGTTGACAATAAAAATAACCGTCCAGTTTTTAAAAAACTTAATTATCTCGGTGGGTTTACCGTGGACGCGGTTTAGGCGCGGTGACCCTTACCAGCCACCGTCACTTCTGCTGAAGTTCCCGCGCACACGCACTTTTTAATTTGCAACCAAAACTTTGAAGCTGAAATAATGGCCGAAGGAGGAGATGGCAGCGCCCAGGACATCCATCAGCCCTCAGAGAAGACTAAATCGGAAGTATGGTCATATTTTGGATTTCTGAAAAATGCTGAGGGACAGTTAATAGAAGACAGCTATCCCGTTTGCAGAACGTGCAGGGAACAAGTGTCTGCAAAAGGCAGCAACACTTCGAATCTAATGGCACATCTGTGTGACCATCACCCACGTCTCTACAGCCAGTGCAAGGTAAGTTAACATTAGCATTTTAGCTTAAATGCATGACGTGAGGACTTTTGGTTGAGGGAGAATGCAACGAGTCACTATATACTGCAGCCGCAGCGCCCTCTGCCAGCATTTAAACCGTGTCACGGACACCCTGTTGCTGGATGAAGCATCTTATTTGTTGATGATGAAGAGAAATATACCATTAGTTCCTTGTCATTGATTTGTTTACTTATTCAATGCCATTTATACTTGAACATTTGGATTTGATTACATAGTGTAGTAGTTATTTTAGTAATTTGTTTAAAGTGGCTATTTATTTTAAATACATATTTTTTTAAGGTTGACTTGTACAGCGCTCAAGTCAAGTGTGGACTGGAGTTTTAGACTTTCATTTTCACATATTCACAAATATCACAAGCCTGAATCTGTTCCGCCATGTTGCTAAAGGTTAGCTTCTACTAGCCAAGAATAATGCATGCAATGAGAGTTGAAAATGTTCAAGTTCACTATGCATATGCAATTCAGAGTGGCTCATCATAGTTCAAGAAGATCAAGTATTACTAGGGATGGACAATATATCAGCATCAATATCGGTATCGGCCGATGTTAGTCATTTTTATCGGTATCGGTTCGATAAATAAAACCGGGTCGATATGTTTTCCATCTCATCTCCATTTGTTTGCCCGTTTCAGAGGGTGGGGGGGTGATGTGTAACTGTTTAGTCACGTGACAGTGATTGTAATCATTTCAGAAGCATAAATGTGTGTGTTGTGTGTTCATAAAAATGTAAATTCAGCTTTAATCATTTTCATTCTATACAAAATTTGCTGATTTTAGATGCATTAATGTCAGCATATCGGTTTCGGCAAATATTGGTTATTGGCCATAACAGTGATCTTAATATTGGGTACAGGTATTTCATATCGGTGCATCACTAAGTATTACACGTCTTTTTGGTGAACGAGACCTTAAAGCTCTGCACAGAATAATTATTAAATGTAAGCCAACAACCATAACAGGAGGAAACTATGAAGATAAGCAATTCTTCTGAACAAAAGAATCAACAAAGCTTATGGGGCTCACCTTAACCACGTTTGCTTTGTGCCTCTCCAGAACCTGGATGGTCTGAGCTGTTTTTGGGTCGATTATGAGAATGCTGGAGTGACATCCTTGAGCTATCAGACCCTGCACACCCCTACAGGACATCCAAGCCAGGACAGAAAGCATCAGTGACAAGATAGAAGGAAACCAGATGTGAGCAAAACACAGCTTTTTCCACATAAAAGGAAATATGCTAGTTCCACTGTGTGATTTAAGTGATTCTATAAACGAAGATAAAGTAGAACCCTAATTTAGCCTGTTAACATTAGAACACTCTTGTTTATTTTGGAATTTCCCTGTTTTCATTTCTCCATTTGTATCCAACTTCTCATCTTTTTGTGTGTACACCAATTCTGCATAAGTCAGCATGAAACAAGAAAATTCATAAATCACTTCAAAACTTGCTGTAATTTCAAAGCACAAAACAAAGGTAAAGCAATGTTATTCTGATAAACCCTCCAGTGGAGCACAAAACAGTGGTCTTCGTAATGCTCCTGTTCCTAATTAACATAAAAGTCAATCACTTTTAAATTGGCCTTGGCCCTAGGGCTGCTCAATTAATCGAATTTTAATCACGATTACGATCTGAGTTTTGAACGATTATAAAAAACAAAACAAGCCGATTATTTGCTCCTCCCGCCTGCGCTGCCCCGAGTTGCAAATGAAGCGCTCCTCCCACAGTGTTGCCAATTTAGCGACTTTGACGCTATTTCTAGCAGCTTTTCAGACCCCCTTCTTGACTTTTTAACTTAAAAGTATCTAGTGAACACCTCAGAAACATCTCTGGTAACCCTTAGCTACTTTCTGGATAACTGTCGTCGACATTTCCTGCAGGTTAGCTAAACACCGCCTGCTCTCCGGACCGTTCTTCAGGACATTAGGAAAGGGAATGATGAAGCGATGTCGGTCGCTAAAAAAACAGCTCTCGGAGCCGGCTCCTTGTTGGAGCAACCAGAGTGAGTGACACACACACCGCACCTGCGGACTCCTGAGCCACTAAAAACGGCTAAATGTGCGCGTGCGGCGCGCTAAACACACGTGCAGCTTGCCCCGATTGCTGTGAGACCGGGTTGGGGGTGGGGGGTGCAGCTGTGGTTGGGACAATTATTACATTAACTGATGGACTTGTAAATAAATAGTTTATAAATAAGGTAGAAATAAGTTCCTCACGCTGATAAATAATAACTAATCTCTCTGAGGATACGGTGCTAGTGCACTCTCCTACAGCACCTTGACACGACTAAATACGTATTATGCAATTTTTTGTGAACATCAATTTATTTGCATGTATTTGTTATGAATGCCACAGTATAATTCTTGCTGTCAGTATTTGCAAGATATTGGTATTTGGGTCTGTACTGGTTAGACTTAAATGAGTTAAACCAAGGTCATAGCCCTTGGGTCATAAACTATGTATGAGCTATAAGTATATTGGTCTTTTTATACTGGGAATCAGGAGTTCTTTTAGTGATCATCTTGTTTCTTATTTTCGTCCTGATTGTGCCCTGAGCAGTTTTATGACTGAATAAAAACAAATAAAATCAACATAAATTGAAAAATCGTCCTAAATAATCGTGATCTCAATTTCAGTCACCATAATCGTAATTATTATTTTTGCCATAATCGAGCAGCCCTACTTGGCCCAGCTTGTCGCCACCAACAGCCAACAAAACTGCAAATCAAATTAATTGTGACTAATTTTATTAGCATTTTTCAAGTACAAGTGTAACTCAAAACAATTCACAAACTATAAAAGGATTTATAAACACAAGCATTGAGAAAAAACTAAACACTAAATATCAAAACAATAACTAGGCTTTTTGGAAATTTGTTAAAAGATGTGAAACATGAAAGAAAGTGCAAAAAACGAGCAAAACCAATTACTTTAAATAATAACAATAAAAATGATTGTTGGTCTTAAAAACCACAAGGAGAATTGGACTTCTGCTGAAATGCCAACGCAGAACTTCAACTTCTCCCTAAACCCAATCAGGGTGATTGTGTTAATAATCTCATAGCAGATCATGAGATAGTTGTCTAACACACCTTCAAGCCACAGTCCATTTTACATTATGCAATTATCTCAGCAAAAATATCAAGAACTTCCTGCCAGGAACAACCTAGGACGCCGAGGAAGTGCTACATGAAACCCCATGGAAATAATTGTATGGTGTGAGGTATGGTTTAGTTTTTCTACTGCCGGTATTGATAGGTAAAGGTCAAATCGACCAATGACCGATTTGTGCTGCCGATATTTTGGGCCGATTTCCATGGCTGATATCTAGACCTTTTCCAACTCATTTTCGCTTAACATTGCTAAAATATCACTAATAACATCAGTTGATTCACAAAACTCCTAAAACCACATCGGTTTTTGAACACTGAGTTTAACCAGCTGTTAAATCTTAATTTTGTGCACTGCTCAGTGTTAAAATCAGACTTCTAACTAAAGTTAATCAAACAAATGAGTAAACTGACCAAGAATGAAACACTCAAAATTGGTCAATTACAAGAAACTTTAGTTCAAAATAAGTTTTTGAGCATTTATTAAGCAGATATTATAATTAATATACATTAAAATAAATGCTGCTGCAGCACCGGGCTGCCCATTGATGTGCCTGACTTTAAATCGGCTCTACTAAGGAGTTGTATCGGCCGACGTCGATATATATAAAAAATTGTAAATTTCTGCCTGATTTATCGGTCTACCCCTAATTGTGATGTGAAATAGAAAGAGTACTGAAGGTCTATTTAATATTGATTGATAACAGCAATACTATTTAGTCTTAGCTGCACTCAGACCAGCCATTAACTCATTGGTTAGGAGAGATCGAGTTTAACTGAACTGGATACAACTATTTATTTATTTATATATAGTCGTGGGTCTTAAAAGTACTAACAAAGAAAAGGCCAAGCAGCAAAAAAAAAAAAAAGTCACATCACATGATACAAAAGTCGGGAGTCTCGATGACAGTTTAACCAAAACCTGCACCAACAGCAGCCGCTGAGGCTTGCCACCGGTTTGCAGAACTACGACCAACCGTTTCGTTAAACCCATTCATAAATAAAACGACTTATCTGTCAATGGCGTTGTATTTCTAGGCTGAATTGACAATTTATGCTAGCGACAGTGACAGTACTCACCAATCTACTGCGGTTTTATTCTGCAAATTCAAAGTGCCAGTCAGCGTCCGAGCGGCGAGTTTAATGTTGACCGTGTAAGGAATCATATCTGATAGTTAGTATTTATACTACATCCGCAGAAATTAACTGTTGCCTGCTAAATTAGTTTAGCTTCCCTGTTTCGGCTATGTTGTGAATTGTAACAGGAAGTGGTCGGTGTTTCGAAAAGAATACCGTCTAGGAACCGATTCCCTTAAAGAGTTCCACTTCATGGTATTTTTTAAAAAGACAAATTTTTTTGTTAAATGCGGACCTTTAGGAAAAGGGGGTGACAGTAATGTTTTTAATGGTTATTTAACAAATAATATTTCTTGGCTAGTTTTCTTTAATATTTCTGTCAAGTTTGCCAAATTTATGAGTTATCTCTCAGAGTAATGTTTATTTAATTATTTATTTTCTGATTAACCTTAAACATTTTCCTTTCCATTCAGTCTTTATAGACAAAATTAATAAAATTTCTTTTTCAATTTTGGAAGTTTTATTCACCTTTTTCATACCTGCTGTATTCCTGTTCAAAAAAGCATCTGTGGCATATTTTATTAAAAAAAAACAAAAAGAATAAAAGAAATCAGAGAATCGTTGGACTGTTTGTTTCATAAACAAAAACTTCCAGGACTTTATTTCCTCTAATTTCAAATGGACACAAAAACAAGATGTTAATAATGTATTTTTCCTGGTAGACTATTGAAGCTGTCACCTTGAAGCCAGGATTTCTGTTGTTTCAAGTTGTTTTAGCAAATGTATTTGCTTAACACTGGTTTGAATAACAAATAAACGTCTTGGAATCGATTTTCTTCTATTCGGACCAGAACCTCTCGCCACAAGAACTGTTTCTTCCCTTCTGCAGTTGGAATCACGAATGACGATCCTAAGACTGCCCACTCCAGTCATTTGGTTTCAGTTACCCTGTGTTGTGTTTGTTCCTAAACTGTTCTGCTATAGTAGCCATTTCTCTAATTATTGCCACTTTATATTTTTATTTTATCATGATTATATTCTTACTTCCTGTATTTGCGTTTCTCTTACTTGTATCTTTCTTTTTTGCACCAAGTACTGCAGCAATTTACAAATGTTGTGATTTCTTGCATTTATGGCAATAAAACCTTCTGATTCTGATTCTTCTGTTTTGGATCCGAACCTCTACAACTAATCCGCCCTCACAGATACGATCACACTGTAGAGACATAATATCAATAAGGGTTTAGCAATTAATAATAACAATTATTTGCTTCTGACTAAAAATATGAAATTCTGGGTGAAGCCGCTAAAGTTCATTTGAGATTAAAATGTTATAATAGTAAAAATACATCTTTAGGTGGCCGTGGTTGAACTGAGAGAGTGGTTGTTCAATGATCGGCAGGTGAGCAGGTCAATCCCAGTATCCTTGGGCAAGCTACCAAACCCTGAAAGTTGGACAGGACCTTGGTTGTTATACAAATGGCTGCCCACCTGCTCAGGAATGGGTGAAATGCAGAGAGTAATATCCCCAAAGGGATCAAATAAGGTATAAATTATGTATCAGTTTTTCTTTGATCTTGTGCCAAAAACAGTTATAATAACAACACATCTTTGGGGTTTCTGTTGCTGTGAAAAACTTTTATGAAGACGGGAAAATATCACAGAAGGAACACCCCCTACTGGCTGGCTGCAGAACACCACCATTAAAACGAATGACATTGCTCAGGCTGAAAGTAAAATAAAACAAACTTCCCTACTTTGGGTCATTTGTACCTTTTTATTTGATGTCATGGTTGCGCTTAAGTGAGGTTTACCTTCCAGAACCGCACCTGCTGGTGTTGTCACACCCACAACATTGTCTGATTTAGTACTTAGCTATGGAAATGGTATTTTCTTCTTCTTCTACTTCTCTCACAACTTAACGCTGAAAACCATCTTTTGCTGGATTAGTAATAGATCAACAACAAGCTGAAGCCTGATGTAACCCAGAATAGATCAACTAAAGCAGTGTGGTGTGTGTGTGTGAAATGTCAGATCAAGCACTTAGATGGAACTAGCACATGTGGGATTCACCTTGAGCTGACACAAAGAAAAAAGGCGCATTTGACAGATTGTGCTCATATGATGTATTCCCTTTTAGAAATAAATGTGATGTAATTGTATTTTCAGTGTTCAGGTAGTAACTTTTATATGTTAAATTTAGAAATTGTAATTTGGAGTCTACATCCTTTATCCATCAAAACCTGGGTTTGATCTAAATCTTCTGAGTAGAGAAATTTTGAAAAAGTACCCAAAAATGTTTTTGATGTTTATGTATTTGGCCAACAGCTCCGTCCACCGTGACTTTATAAACACGCTCATCCCTGTTTTTTTTTTTTTTGCATGAGATTGTAGGTTGGGCCTGTTTACATAATCGTATGTTGGAGCGTTTGTTACGTTTTTCCAACTAAGGCTTTATTGGTTGAATGTTGTCCTTACCTATGTTCCCTCCTGGTTAAGTCCAAAAACAGAAGCTGCAATCACTGGTCAAACAATTCCAACACGTTTAAAAATCCCACAATCTCGAACAGTTGTTGCCGAAAGTGCATTTTTGTGTTTTTGCGCCTTCATCCTGCTTGGATTTGTGTGGTTCACTCATTTAATCAGTACATTTGAAGTGGTCTCTAATTGGAAAGAATGTCTTGTACATAGTTTTCTGGGGTAAAAAAGCTCTGGTGCTCCTGTTTCAGGAACTAGAAATGAGCCACGTCACAGTTGAGCTTCAGAAGGCAGGATTTGGAGTCTCATTTCCTGATATTTGGACATCTCTTCTCTGATTGGCTAACAGCAACAAGACTACCACCGACTCTGTTTTATTACCACAAATAACACAAGCCTGGAGGAATTCTGCTGTGTGGTGGATGTGCAAATGCTAACAGTTAGCTTCTGCTAGCAGTGACATTCTCTGCTGTTTCCTGGATGCTAAACCAACAACAGCCTTCCCCGTCGTGAGCCGAGATGGGCGAGTCCATGAATGTTAAGTGACAGTGGGACGTAGATCTGTCAGGATTTTCTAATCCTGGAATTTCACCATCGATTTTCTAGCAGAAGCTAATGCTGGAGACAGGTGTAGGAGACTATTGTCATGATCAGCCTGCATGAAAAGCTCAGAGTGTCCGGTTAAAATTAGAAAAAAAGATGTAGACATGTTTTTTTCGGTATTCCACACCTTTATGGGCCATTTAAGACCCAGATGCACATGTTGAAATGGAGTGAGCTTTTTAAGATGATGCAGAGTTTTGTAAAGTGTCTGTCTTTGTCATGGCCTGGGGGATACCTCTAACCCAAGACACGCAGAATCAACAGCTCACGGATGGATGGTAAAAAAAATAGTATTTTTAAAACGGGAACTGAAGGAGCACTGGTAAGTCCAGTGGGGATCGAGAAACAGGAGCGCAGCGTCTGAGGGGGAGGGGAGAGCGGATACAGGTGAGTCCATGGATGCACGTCTGGGCGCAGAGAAAAGACTTACTGGGAGATGGGGAAGCACCGGAATGAGGGAGGGCAGGTTGAGAGCCGGGGTGTACCCAAGTGAGGGGTCCAGGAGAGGGAGAGTGAGGAGAGCAGGTCGGTAGGAGGAATGGAGAATGGTTCAGAGCTGCATCCAGAAGTCCTATGGGGAATGAGTGAGCAATCCTGAGAGGTCACTGAAACCAGAGACGTCCAAAAACCTGGACACGAGAGCACAGAAATTCAAGAATCACTAAGAGGCTAGACATTAGACACGTCGAGGTGTGCTCTCCATCCTCCTTATGTAGCCGGGCCCGCTGACTGCAAACCAGGTGCAGCTGGGAACCTCCCTCTCCTGCAACACACAGCTCAAAGGTGGAATGTTGAGAGGAGTACTCACCCCGGCTCATGACAGTCTTTGATGTATTTTCATCTGTATTTCTACTCTTTGACACTGTTTTTAGCCGCCATCTTGTCCAGGACTCTTTTGGAAAACAACACGTTTCAGCTTTTAATTGCTGAAAGTTAGATGTGCACCGATTCTGGTTTTGGGATGATTCTGATTTGTCTAAAATAATTACATTTAACTAAATAACCTTTTACTTTTAAATTAAATTGAAAAGTATCATTCTGGGGAGAAAAAACTCAGCTGGACTGCATGGCGGCACAGCTGTAGCACTGTTTTCTCACAAGAAGGCTGCAGGTTAAAATCCCAGCTGTAGCCTTTTGGTGTGCAGTTAGCGTGTTCTCCTCATGCATGCATGGGATTTCTCTGGGAACTACACGCATGTCAAGCTAACTGTGGACTAATTGTCTCTAGGTGTGAGAGAAGGACTGTTTGTCTCTGTGTGCCCCTGTGATGGGCTGGAGACGTCATGGAGGGTGTCCCTCACCTCTCGCCTGATGACTGCTGGAGTAACTCATGACCCTACTGAGGAATAAGAGGTTCAGAAGATGAGTGGGTAAGAGTAAATTAAGCTATTTTTATTATTGGCTGTTAAACAAGGAATGCACACAACATGATAGAAAAGCTGTCCAAACCCAACATCTCATTAAAACAGAGGGATCGAACAGGTTTCCAGGAAGCCCTACAGCCCACATGCGGCAGGTTACTTAAAGGTCAACACTAGGTTCGAAGCTATGACAAATATCCGTGTCACTTTGTTGCTTTATAAGTGATTATCCTTTCATTATTTTATATATTTCTTTTTTAAATCCATAAGTAAGTGATGGTTGACGCAGCTAATTGTTGCCTCTCTGGGCCACGGTTCAGACGTATTGAAATGTGACTCAGAAGCCGTCATCAGGCGCCGTAGCAGCTGTCCTTTTTTCTAAAGAAAGTGCAGCATCAGACCTCATGAGCTGAGCATGTTTTCAAACACTAGGCCATATAAAACCTGGTAAATTATTCACAATTAAACACCCGCTGAAGACCCCTGGGTGCATTTTAAATGATTATGTCTACTGATGGCATCGAGCCGGGAGACAAACCTGTTAGAGAATAAAGTACAGAAAACGAGAGTTCCCGCAACAGATGAACACAAGGAGTTGAGGCGGTTTTGTTCTTTTATAAACAATCTCTGCAGCTCAGAAGTGATTTGCAGGGATTTTTTATTCTTCTTCTTGCTCTTGGAGGGTGCAGACGCTTTTTTCCTCCTCTCCTCCATATCTTATCCTCAAGGCCTTTGACTGTCTGTGTGTGCTGGGTGCACGGCTGCTTCTGCATTTT